CGAACATAATCAGGAGACATCAACATAGTGTATGAGAGAGTCACGGGCGACAGCTAGTAATATATATGACAGCCTTGTTAGCTAATTATTAAAAAAAATCTTCTGTATTTGTTACGATATGCTCCATTCATTCCTAGTTCTCGATCATTTAAGTTCACGCGGGTGAAAAGATGCGATAGTGATAGTTTTTATATCCTATTGTTATGCTGAGAAAACATAACCTAGAAATTCAATTTCTAATTCCATTAGGCACGACGTATCTAATTCCACATTTTAGATTATGAAACAAAAATATTAATCAATTACGCAGCATTTATAACTGGCTGTTATATGGTCAATAACATAATAAAGAATAAATAAACAGTTTTTATCGTGTAATAAATTTATAAAAAAAATTATAATTGTGTCATTCATGTTAGGTAAGAGTTTATTTCGAACGGTGAACAACCTTAGAATTGATGAGGTGATTATATGTCAATGAACTTTGTTACACATTCAGATCCAGTTTTGAACGTTGTACAGAAGTTTATGTAAATAGCAAGTGAGCGTGAAATACCTTTAAGAGATCGATAAAATGCTTACGTACCATCAGCGACAAAGCTCTTACAATAATAAACAATTAAGGTCATTCAATTTAAGCTCTTATGCCTATTACATACAACTTATTAAGCCTTGGACGTTAACGCTGATTAGATGAACTACCTCACTCACGCTAAGTAATCCTATAATGGAGCTTACTTCTAGAACGTACAGAAAAAGCATTTCTTTGGCTTCCCGTGATTAGTTAGTATCGTTCAGTATATAATGAATATCTGTACAAATAGTAAATAATGAATATCTGCACATTCCTGAACAAATAACAGGAAAACTATAATTTAAGGATAATTTACTAAAATATCCAGATACAAAATCCGCGTAAATGTAAACAAAATTATCAATTTAAACTCTATATTCATATTAATTCAAAGATCTTAAGTGCTTTGTACTGAGATTTTTGCAAGTAAGTCACAATTTAATAAATAATATTCAAGTAATTGTAACACGTAAGTTTTTTCGGTAATTGGATTAGATTTGGTGTCAGAAATTTTAAGGACTTGATGAAATTTGGAAAAATTGGAAAAAAGCACACATTTAAAAACCTAAAAAAGAATTTATACATTTTTAATTAATTTTAATATAAATAAAATTAGAAGTATAGTAAAATTTATTTAGTATATAACCATTAAACATATTGCTAAAATGCTTACATACTTTGACTTATGTTGGTAAGCACGCAACTTAGGCTGTATCTATGGCGAAAGCTTATTAAATCAATGCTCCTTCATCGATAAAACAATTACCCTGTTTTGTTTCATGTTCATTTTGTATAATTTCATTAAGAGTTCGTTAACAAGATTTATAAATTATAGATAATTCTTGTTTTGAAAACAAAGATTTAAACGATTTTAATATTACATAAAATTCTCTAAAAGGTTCTATGTGTATTACTTTAATTGAACTAAGATGATATGTTATTTAATACATATTTTATATCACCTAAGCTTGCGCAATTTTGTTTTTGCTAATTAAATTTGGTGCTACTTGTCCTATATACAACGACATCTATCGCGTGGAATCTAAAATAATTCTTCACAATTCCTATTTGTGAAATTTATATATTGTTTTACTTGCTGTCTGTCTGTTTTTTATATTAATGAATTTTCTTGTTCTGTATGTTAGCTATATTTTAATGTTTTCAACGTTAGATTTTTGAACCTAACAATCTATAACAAAAAAATTGTTTAAAAATTATTTACTTTTATTTTAATAAAGAGTGATAAAAATTACAATTTGTGCCTATTGGCATGTGTGTCAAAGGTAAAAACTCTTTTTGAGTAGTACATGCTCATTACTAATTTTAAGTGCGTTCTTAGTACCACATTATTTTGATAGATGGCGCTTTTATTTTTTTAATTAATTATAATGAACCTCAGAACTGAAGGTAATTGCGATTAACAAAGAGCTAATTATAAAGCCCTGACTGAAAACAGTATCTAGTATTGTATAATATATATATATATATATATATATATATATATATATATATATATATATATATATATATATATATATATATATATATATATATATATATATATATACAATGAAATACATTAAGCACTATCTAATTTAATGCAACGAACTAAATAAACAAGTTGTATGAGAAAAGAATGTAAATTATTTGCTTCGGCAAAATCAAACTTACGGCGTTCACGGTTTGGTGACGTAACTATATAATGATAACAAATTGCTTTTCCATTTATCTTTATAAAACAGTATTGAAAAAAATACTGTAATTATTTATTTAGTAAGAAATGTCATCAACACGTTTGTTCATTTGTTCTTAGCAAGTTTTATGATAGACCGCATGGCTGAAATTGCTATTCGATTTTTGTAGGAGACGATTTTATCATGATGTTCAATATTCAAATATCCGTACTATGTAAATAATAATCAATGAATACTCTTTATCAATCATACTAATAATCATACTTTCCATATAATACAATATTCAGGTAATTGTAGTCGAATAACGACGAGTCAAACGTATCCCTTACAAACCCAAATTGTCCTGTCTTTGATTTTTTTCGAAAAAAATTATTGGTACAAGTGTTTGGGTAGTGGAAATCAACGGTTTTAATTAATAATTTATTAATACTTGCTTACAATCGGGCGCCCCGCCGTCCGGTGCGCCGGTTGGGTGCACCGGCCACGACGGTCTCGCTCCGCCACCCCCGCGCGTTGACCTGCGCCACCACACCATCGCACCCCTGGGAAAACTTAAAATTACAACCATCCCACTTTATTTGGTATTACTCATGTAATTTATTGCTTCCGTTTACCTGCCTTCTATCTAAAGTAGAGCTTTGGAATATAGCCTAAAACAAACAGTTTTAACAAGGGATTTAATATAATTGAAGAAATAATTGAAATGTAGCCTATTTAATTTGAGTAAAAAGATGCTTATTATATATCGGGTAGTTGAATATTTCAAAAATAAGATACTCACAGGGCTATAAAATAAACTTGAAGTTATATAAAATATTTGAATCATACTTGTGGTAGCACAGGTGTTATGATTATTTGTTCGGCGTGTGAGGTGAGCTCAATGGCCAGGTCGCGAGGGGTACGGTGCGCGGGCGCGTGGCCGAGCGGCACCCCCGCGCACCGCCCTGATCGCCCTCCGCAGCCTTGCGGCCGGCGCACGCGCAGAAAGTCGAGCCAGTCGCCCGCCGCGCAGCCTCCGGTTTGTTCACATCCTTTGTAATTGGTGACGTTTTTCATATAACATTATGTGCAATAAATAATCATAAGTGAAAACGTTATCTATTTAACAGTGGCTGTTTATTTGATGACGTTAAAAGTGTTAGCGCGGTTTAAAAGTCTCGAGTTACGCGGTCTGCCAGCTAGGTATTTGCATTGTGCAGAAAGGTTGCACTATCCCCTCTGGTGAAGGCATTACGCTGTAGTAGCCCCACAGTGGTACGTGGTACGCGCGAATGATTAGATTTCTTTGGAATATTAAAAAAAATAACATTCGAATTTTGAATGTCAGATTTTTTGATGTCGATGTATTTAGCCTTGGTATGGAATTTGATTTGAGCCTATCCAGTGTAGCGTGACTGCACGCCAGCCGGAGTTCCTTAGCCGATTATACAAAATAACGCAACGAGAGATAATATTCAATGAATTTGTAATGTTTTAACACAAAGAGGAATGTTACGTTATCAGTTCTTGTTCAAATATTTCCTAATATACATCTGCGTTTAAGTCAATGATAAAAAGTTATTTACGAGAAGGTATATTTCAGGTTATGTCTGCTAACGTTTATAATGGAACGACCTTTTTATGACCTGCGATGAAATTATTCTATCGATCTAATAGGCAAGGTTGCTGAAAACTTAGTGAGGTTAGTTATAAATAATGATAATAAAGTCTTCGAGAGATCGAACGCATTTGGTTTGACTTTTATGAGTACATCTAATGTCATTTTTCAACAACTTAATAGCATAGTAATTAAATACTTTAAGTTTGATCTAGAAATCTAGATGTTTAGTTAGAAATCAGCCTCAATAAGATGGTGCTGTTTACTATACACAAATTAATAAGAATGGTTAGTTTTACATGGGTTGTGGAAATGTTAATCAAATTACATAATCACCTTTCTTCAAGCTAATATATTCCGTTTGATGCAAATGACTACATTCGGAATCATTTTGAAAACCCCTTTAATAAGAAAATTATTACTGTTGAAGAGGAAATTAGACTTATTAAAAAAGGGTACTTGAACAAAAAATATTTTAGTTTCATGCACGTAAGAAAGTTTAAACAATTTCTAAAGAAAATATCGATTTAATAAAATTATCGAATTTTTAATTGGAATAACTTATCTACGAGCTTAAAACGAGTGAATGTATTTAATACTAATGTATAAATAGTACGTGAAAAGTTTATACAGTATGTTCAAGAACTCCCACGTTACTGGGCTCGGTTGTCCTCCACCGACAATGGCTTGCTCCGACCCGATGCAGTGTAGAAACCGAGCCGCATTAAATTACCAATTGTTCCAAAGATTTACAACAGAAAAAAAACAGAAGTGTAGAACATTCATTACACGAGCGCAGATCGGTGCATTATGCAAACTACCCGATGTTATGTTGGTATTCTTTTATGAATTATGGATGAAATAAATGAATAAAATAGGTGGGTGTTGAAGCAATAGTAAGGGCCCAACCCATCGCATTACAATGTTGAAGATCTAGACATTGCGATGCAAAAATGTTATTAAAGTAACATCTCAGCTCAGTCACCATTAATATACAATTATTAAGTTGCAAGATACAACTACTTAAATAAATTTTGGTTTCGATCCGATCATATTTGAGATTTTATTTAATTAATTTCTGTTTGTCAGCTCTTGTGAGTTTATTAATCCTTTGTTGCGTAGTTTTTTAAAATTGAAAAAAACTTCATTCCAAGCGTGTTATGTTACTTATACGGGCTCTAATAAAAGTAAAAAAGGGAAAGTTTAACATGAAGCACAACGGTACACCCAAGTGCAGATATCAAGGTTAAAACTTGAATACTTGCTATGTACTTACATTTAACTTAGACTAGAGTTGCAAAAAACTTAAAACTATTCGGGTGAAATTAGCAACAAATAGCTTGATATATATACAAATACCGGCTATTTCTTTTTTTATCATACAACAAATTGTCGTCTTTCTTTTTATTTGCCAGTTATTATCCAAGCTTATTGAAAGTACCTAATTATATTATTGATGTATGCCCCTTTCTCAGTCATCATGTTGATTAGAAAACTTAACAACTCACTACTTTCATCGTTCTATTTGCTCATGGAGCGATGTGTCGTCGTTGATTTACTAAGAGTTACTTGAGCATAAGCCGATCTCAATCTAGGGTTTCCATCAGCCTCGTTAGCTTTAATGCAAAGATAATAGCATACGATTACTTTACAAAAGCCTTGCAGAAAATTTTGTGTGCGCCTTGCAATTTTGATTATAGATAGAGCTCGTACAAGTGACAGGCGCGAAGTAGTGGGGATGCCTAGATAACACGATAACGGCCCCTAGAACCGACGAGACCGCATCGAGCTCGCTTGCTTCTATACATTTTTTCCAACTGCAAGTCTAGCGGTATTTGTCTTAGTCGAAGCTTATCTAGTTTGTGGTGCAGTCATGCTAAAGTTACATCCTAGTTTCTTATAAAAGTGTGAATAAAATATGTTTTAGATAATGTACAATTCATAACTTTTCAATGTCCATTTACCAAATTGTCTAGATACCCTTTAGCTTTTAATGCTAAAATGTTGTCTAACAAAGCGTTCAATGACATCGTTAGCTTATAATTCAGTGAAACACGTGAAAAATATTAAAATTATGTGCTAATACCGGCCGAAATGAAAGACTCTGCGCCTCGCTGTGAGGATGTGGCCGACAAGCTGGTGCGGCTGTTTGGATGGCGACAGACATACCCCGTGCAGAAGCTACAGAGGAATCTATTGCCTAAGAACAGTGAAGGGGTAAGCCATATACGTATTAAAATATTAAGAACTTACTATAAATATATCGATAACCTTCGAACTAGACTGCACTAATGTTTTACAGACGCGAATTTAGAAGTAAACTAATTTAAAGGTGATTTTAACGTATCATTGACAGGTACAAAACTAATATGTATATATTTACAATAAAAACAGAAATGTACAAATACTGTTACTTGCGGAAGGAGTGCTTCATGAATTACTATTAGATCAAAACTTGTTTACGTAAATGATATCGGACAATCTGTCGCACGTCCGCACGCGTTTCCAACATACAGTGCATACAAATACTCCTTGCAAATGTAACACGGTAGAAATACTTGAAGGAGTATCAACATTTTTTACGTGCGATGTAATAATTTGTATAAATAAATAATATTTGTACATGACTAACAATTCTATTTTAGGACATCGATTGTTGTACAAACAAGACCATTTTTTAAGCAAGACTTTTGCTAATCAGATAATTGTTTTACCATACCCTGTCTATGGAAAATAGCTGATATTTTCTGATTAACTTGTGATCGCCCGCGACTCAATCCGCGCGGAATTAAAAAAAACATAATTAGTAACCTATGTGTTCCTCCAGACCATGTTCCATATGTATGTCAAATTTCATCGAGATCCGTTTAGCCGTTCTGGAGATATCTTCAAAGAAACATCCATCCATTCATCTAAACATTCGCATTTATAATATTAGTAAGATTAACGATCTAATTGAATTGTTTTATAGTTAATTCAATTAGATCGTTAATCTTTAAATTTTATTAAAAATTTATTTATAGTTTATAGTTAGGAAGTTATTTTGTAGAATTAGTACCAAGTTTTTATGGTAAGCTGGTAGAGCGAGCTAATCTGGAATTCCATTATGATACGCACGACTCAGCTGCAGTGACACACGCTAATTGATAGCACGATAACAGCGCTGATAAGAGACCATTACAACACCTAACGTATATTAAAAATATAATCACTAGTGTTTTAGAAATCGAATTTTAGGTGGCCGTTGAATTTGGAACTTAATGAGAGCTGGTTTCTAATAATATTTGAGTTTTAGCACAGTAACGAGCAAAAAATATCAAATGTACTCTTTAGTTCTCTTTAATAGAGTTTTTTGTCTATTGTTTGATGAGTTTTATATGCATATGTTGTATGTATGTAATATGGTATATGTTTATTAGATCTGATGGGTATTTGAGCCGTGGCATTGTGGTCGCACAAAGCCGTTTCCTGTGTATTCTGATGCCAGGCAATTCATGCCTGCTCGGCCCACTCACAATAATTAAAAAGATAACGGACGATGATCACATTCGCGTGTCACATTTTAATTTATTTTATTTTTAATTGCGCAAACTGTTTTAAACTATCCTTTGTGTAACGTAACCTATTCGTGATTCAAAATAACGATAAACTGCTCTGTCGTTTGTTTTTATACAGGCACTAGCTGCCGCCTAGACTCCGTTCGCGCAGAATTAAAAAAAAATTAAATAGTCCATGTTTTCTTCCAAACTATGTTCTACAGTTGTGCCAAATGTCATCAAGATCCGTTGAGTCGTTCCGGTTATACCTAACAAACATCCATCCATGTAAACATTCGCATTTATAATATTAGTTTCATTGACATTATTAGTTAGTTTATTATTCTTCGGTGTAGCTAATGTTAAAGAAAAGTGAGCCCACTTTCACAGAATAACGGAGTAATGTTGTGATTCTTGATGATTTGTTGGAAAATAGAAAATTACACCATCAAGTATAACATAAATACATTTTATTTCTTTTGTCTTTTAAATAACATACTAATAAATTGTTTCGTGTGAATGGATATTCCTCATGAAAGAAATGCCAATTCTACACCAAAACATTTGAATGAAATTGGAGTTGAATAGCATGACCCGGGCTGGGGATATCATTTTGTCCCGCTTTTGTTGGTTCTCAAACGAGAGTGACAAAGTGCAGATAGATTTGATAAATATTCGTTTGTCTGTATATCTACCTCAGATTATTTGAATGATTGTGCCTTGGACACAATAGAGATTAATTTGTTGCTCCATTTTCTCCGTGTTGCTTAACATATTGTACACAACAACTAAATGAACATGCATATACTATAATACTTGGAAGATATTCATGCATAAAAAAACTTGTAATCACAAGTCAGGTTATAATCAAAATATTTTTACAAGTATGTCGATGCGCACTTGACAATTTCTCACGGCTGTGTTTATTGAGCACTTGAAAAACATTGAACGTGACTTTAGCCTAGAACTTCTGTTGATAACGCAATTTAATGCAGTTAAAATGTTTCATATATCCACAAGTGCATTAAATTTAAATAGGATACAAGGAAACGAGTATTCTACTTAGAACTAGAAAAATAAATTGACTTAGTTACTAGAAGTAGTAATAATATTGATTTAGTCACTAGGATTGTAATAGCTTCGCGATTTAGTCTTGAATGTAATGAAAAAAGTTTATTTGAATATACTTGATACTAAATTATTATACTATCAAGATTAGTCGTGACTCAGTTTATAGTGCTCAACATTTGAATGATACGTCGCGAATTAGCGTACTCTTCTCCGGCGTTCCAAATGAAGCACCGTTTACAGCGTCACCCAAACTTTATGGCAGCTTGGAGGATATCATAAGGCAATTTTAGCTATCGGGAGGACATAAAGGGATGAAGGTGCGAGTGCTCTACTTTACACACCTTCATAAGTACTTGCAGTATACTACTAGCTCAAGTAAAGTGTGAATCTTATAATACTATATTATGTCAGTTTAGCGCGGACGGTGAGTTGTCGCTGTGGGCGTCAGGTGACCGTACACTGAGCACAGTTTTAGCGACTCAATGTTTCCACAAACAACCGTTATTCTGCGCTGCACTTTTGTTCACAGACATGTGAACCAATAGCTAATTAACATTCCTAGCTCTTCGTACCGTGAACACCATGTGTCGTCTATTCAAGGTCTGAAGATTTTTTCACCCACTTTCTGCAGCACTCGTTATATTTTCTTTCAATCGTCTCTTTTATACAAGTAGCTGAGGTGAAATCGATTTCGAATCGAAATAAAACACGGTATATTAAACTAAAATTGTTCTGAAATTAATTTTATAGAGATTTTACTAACACCTGAAATTAAGTCTATGATGGCATATATCCTTATAGAATTGTTAACTTAATTAAAAACTTATTTAACCTTTGTTGGCCACTACCTTTACAGACTCAAAACAAAATACGATCGACGTCCCACGCCATCCGTGCCGATTCATCTTTGTTACTATTACGAAGATTAATAATTAATTTGCTACTTATATGGCAAGGAAAATAATAATTAATGTAAAAAAAAAGTAAAAAAGAATTAACAGCTATAGCTGCATGCTCCCTTATCCAGCCAAGCGGTCAGTGACCCTTTAATTTTGGTATAAGGCATATATAACGTAAATTAGTTTTAGGTTTTTGGCCTAAGGAAATATTTAAACGTCTTAATCGAATAATATATAGGTAATCAATATATAACCCAATTTAGAATGTTAAATGTAATGAATTGCCAATTATTGGACAATTGAAGCATAAATAACTAAATTGTCAAATATGCGATATAAAAACAGATGATATCGATTGTTAGATCTCTATAGTTTTCAGCCAGTGCGCCTGAGACCTTGAGCTGAATGAGTGATCATTAAAATTATTTTCTGAAGACCATTAGACGGTGGAAACGCGATTTCAAAGTCGCTCAACACCTCACCAGTGTTGTCCGCGCCGCGGCGTCGCGTGATTGTGTCGCGCGTTCCGATAAAAAATTAATAAATAAAAGTTTTCTTGAAATCGAACAAGTGTGTTTTTATATGTTAAAAATTTGATATTGCGTATTGGTGCCTGTGCTATAGTAATGTTAGTTATATATTTAATTTAAAATAATTTTATAGGCTGTGGTATAGCAATTCAATAACGAAAAAAAACTTTTAAGTTTTGGTAACATTTACTGTTTAGTTTATAATAGGTGTATTATTTGTTTGGAAAGTTGTGTCTCGTGTATAATTTTTTCTCGTATCTATATTTTATTTTATATATGTATGTTTACGAGGATTGCGAAGAGTGCAATGCAATAAGCACTTAGCGTGGTGAAGGCATTTGCATAAGAATTTCGCCAACTACCTTGAAATAATATGAACTTCGAAATTATGTGCCTATTCATACACGGGTTTCTTACAAAATCTATGTTTGAAAAATATTTTATAAATTTAAAGGTATTCGTTTATTGGCCACTTTTATTTAATAGGCTGTGGATTAGCTGCCCTTATTGTCCTACTTCTATCTCCTACTAAGGACAGACCACACTTAACGAGCCTAACAGTTGGTGGTGATAAAATCCTAACTCTTTGACAACACTTCCTTTATTTTGGCAACGCTATAAACATTATCTATGCATCTCTTACGCGTCTTTGTTAATTTACGGTTGTTGACGTATTGAAGTCCATCTTATATTCGATTCGCGTGACGCACAACACCATAACCGCTTGCATTTCCGTCGCCTTAATCCGTATTAGGGCGCGAACAAATTGGATGACTCCGATAACAAAATTCGATTCCATATCAAATAAGTTACCTAACTTGTTATCTAAACCGAGACGGTTAGAACTGGCAAGATTCAAACTTTATTTTACACATCTCTGACAATCTTTTCGGATTATTTAGTCGTGGCGCTTGACTGTTTACGTTCTTACCATTTCTAAACAAAACAACTTCACAATACTTTTTGGTCTAAACAGTTGTGCTGTATAATAGGACGACTACATTGTACAAATCATCTCAAAACAACTTTTGTGGTTTGCGATAACATAAGTCGTAACAAGATTACAACTTTTAAACATCAACGTATCATCATCTTGTAAATAAGTTAATAGATATTAGAATGAACATACTACAAGCGAAGCTATTGACCACCTGGTGACCGCGGTTCAAATAAGTCAGAATAGTTTCTGTACATTTCCTTAGACAGCTAAATATCTAGACAAACATACAAACAAACAAACAAACAGCAGATACAATTCTGTAAACATCTATTGATTTGTTAACTTTGACTTTACATCGAGAACTTCTATGGTATCTGTCGACTCGTGCGGAAGCGATGCATTTTTTACTATTCTCGGAAGAACATTGCGTGCTAATGCATCGCTACCGATTGCTCTGTTGCATTCCTGGTATTCGCGTCTTATACACGTACGGGCCGGAGAGCACGCATCTCTATATAATAAAACAAAACTGTTATCCGTTCACCCAATTCTCGTTCCGTTACAAAATAAAAGGTACTGAAATCGATGGACGGTGGTCGAATGAATCCTTGTGTATAAAAATTATCAATACAATTAAGTTTATAAATAGATATTTCGCTTAGTATCAATATTAGCAACATAGTTCGAATCGTATATTTTTACCTGAAATGGCAACTTTATTCGGTGATGTTTTACAGGCATATGGTCTGTTGTCGGTTGTGAACCACTGAGGCCGCATTTGGTCAGCGGCGCACGAAGGCCAAGGTCTCATCCGCTAACTCGATATAAAACGATTAGAGGTTAAACGGCAAACAAGTACCCATTGTAATGGATCAAATTGGATCAACTTAATTGTATTCGTCAATGAAATTATACGATTAAATTATGACGATTGCATAAATAAATTGCGCAATGAAATATGCAATTATTTCCACATGCTGCGAAATTATTAATGAAAGTTGTTTTCTAGAACTTTTACGTTATACCGAGATGTTTATAACTAAACTTAAACGTACACACAACTGTCATATAGCGCATAACGTAGCTTAGAATTGCTACTTTTATTTCCTATCAAAAAGTGTAGATGTATACGTACTTTTATGATCATGCTTGAAGTCACAGTAATTAACAAAAGGTCCTGTTGTTGTATTAGTTTTTTCATTTATCAAAAATCTTCTTCGGCGTTTGGATATAGATAGTATTGTTTAATTTCCTTCTATATAACATAGGCACCATTACGCATTTAATAAATTAAATTTAAAAATTAAATAACCAATTATTATTAATTTAATTTAATCTCAGTTTAAATGAACGTCGTCATTATTCGAATGTATCTCATTGATATTTAATCGTTTCACAACTTAATGAAGTAAGTGAGTGAAATCGAGTGTGTCAGTGATGTAAGAATCAGCGGTAATGGCAGTGATGATGGAGGAGGTGGATGGTACGCCTGTGCCTCCGCCGAGGGTCAAAAAGCTTGCTCGCTTGGCGGCCCGAGAGAAACGAGACCAAAGAACTGTTACTTGGGTAATTATGCTAGAAACATAAAAAAAAATATTCTTAAGGGCATGTACATACAATATTATGTAAACCAGGTATTTGGAAAATCTTGAAATGCGCAAGTATTGAAGGTTAAATACTAAAAATATGATTTGCGGTGGAAAATATTCTCATAATTAGGCTCAATCACGACTAAGACTGAATATTTAGACGTAATGTTCGAGAACATTCTTGATTAGAGTTATTAAATGCACGCAATTTCATAGCGAACGTATTTTCTCGTTTAATGAGATTGTTTTATAGATATATTTATACAAACGTAAGCTGGTGAATGTTGTGACGAGACACGTAAAAGTATTATAAACATTTGAGTGAATGGAACAAATTAACTAGCTATGTTTACGTACTTTCCACAATTATAGCTGGATATCGCACATTTACATAATATTACTTATTACAAAGGAAAAAAACGTCTGTCGGAGTGAATATGATTTTTATAAAGACTACATGTGTTAAAGTTAATTACTAAATAATTATCATTAGCTGCCAGTCTACATTTACAGAATGTTTATTGTCTTAGTAAATGAGACTTTTCCAATCGCTATGTATGAATAAGTGTGTTTTTTTTAGTCTCCAACAAATGCAATCGTTAGAATGTTATGTACTATTGTACTAAAGACGCAGTTGCGTAAACAGATTAACATCTATTTATTAGCTGCTAATTACCAAGTCTTACATATACATTCTTTTGCTAGATGAAAATATATTAAAACCTCGACAAGCAATCAAATTTTTTTTTCATTGTATTTTCGATATAAATAATCCCAGCTAGACTATATACTACCTTCAAACACGCAATCTGTGGCCTTGGAGATATATTTCGCTGACATGAACGATGCATTATTTCTGATGTTTTCTAACATTTAAAATTACTTATAATATCTTATTTTTAAACATAATACATAAACTAACACGTGCTGTATTATAAAACTATACAAGAATTAATTTTAAGCGTACACAATATTTTCTGACAGCGTCTGACATTATTCAGAGTTAGCGATGTGGTGCGCACAAAGGTTCGCGGACAGGCCAACAAAATGGCTGATGAGCAGACAAAAGATCTGAAGAACGTATCGACATAATACACGAGCGATGTTCAACGGAATTGAATGGATTGAAAGGCGCAAATAAGGCGTGGGAACGTTTTCACATATGCCTCGAGTTTAATTTCATAGCATGATAAAAACAATTTAAATTCGCTAAACCAACGATGTGAATCTTCGCGGTATTGTTATACTAGTTTATGTGTAAGCTGAATTTTTTTTTCATTTCTAGCGTTGTGCCTGGTTTACATTGTGCCAGTACAGTAGGATGGTAGCGCCCTTAATAATCGATGGCATAATGTAAACAGTAACTGGTGCCAGTAAACCAAATCAACCTCTGCTAGGTCTGTTACACCCAGTTACGAAGAAGTAAACTTATCACTAACATTTTTTTGTTTTTTCCAGGGACCAGAGACATGGGTGGGCGTGCGAGCATTACGCGCAAGTTCCGGCGGGATCTTGGACCCGGATGATCGCGTGTGCGACGTGGCAGACGACCGTGAGACGCTGACGGCGGAATGTCAGGCGCAGCACCGCGCTGCCCAGGCCGACGGCGCCAGTGGCTCCTCCGCCGGCACCGCCTCACCAGATATGTTTCGAGTACGTTAACTTTATATTCTTAGACCTCTTTTCCACTAAAGGACCAGCTCCGCGACTTGCACCAATAGAAACGGTACCAGCGGCTAATAACGCTAGTGGAAAAGTGGTCTTATAAAGTAGTTAAGAATATAGAAACTAATTAAACGCATGTCGGCTTTTAAAAGCATTACACGTTATCTACGCATATAAAGCACCAAAAATTCCAAATGGGCAAATTTTTATGTTTTTTATGCGAATTGCAAATAATTAAACTTTTTAAAATTTTAAAAGAACCTTAATATGGTGGCAGAATGCTAACGACTTTTGTCACAATTTAAAAAAAATGTAATAATAATACCGGGAAAACAGTTCTGGACTCAGTCATGTCAAAACTTGTATATGAGAGAATTTGAGAAAACATTTGGTAGATCATTTTATAACATGTCTGCAAGTAAAAGTTTGACGATTTGTTTCGATATAAAAATGGGCTCCTGTTTATCTGACTGTTGTCGTCGTAATTCCGAAATCAAGGTATTATCTTTGCTTAAAAATATTTATTAAAATGTTTTAACTGGTTTTATAGTAACATGTTAAAGTAATTTTGTGATTTTTACTTTGAGCAAAATCATATGATTAAATTATAATTTTGTTCTTAACTCACTCTTAACTTAATTCACATTGTAATGCGTAATATAGTCGATATACAATAAATGCAAGTATAGTAAGAGTATTGATCAAAAGATTCGAACCTAACTCACTTTAAGTCCACTTTAATTTTACGTTACACCATAAGGATATAATTATCTTACTAATTTTATAAATGTAATTATTTCGATGTATGGATGTTTGGATGGATGTATGTTTGTTAGAAGGTATCTCCAGAACTCGCTGTAATTTGACGTTTCAATTTTTAATTCCACGCGGAAGAAGTCGCGGGCTACAGTTTATACATTTATATATTATATCATAATCCAAAGTAAATAAATATTTAGTGGTTAGTCTAATAAGATTACAGCACCGCTGGCCATTCAGTCGGCGTAATTTAAGCTCATTAGACATTTTTGCGTATTCAAATTATTCACCGCCAGGCCAGGCCAGGCTGTGTTCGCCGATAACAGTACAATGACAGCCACTACTCACCGCATCGCTTACATTGCTATTGTTTTTTTCCCTTTGTAAATTTATCATATACACATACATACACAAAAACGTGTTATATGCAAGGTAGTAAATTTTTCGCATTATGAGGCAATATAGCCAGTTTTAACTGGTACGTTTTGGATGAATTCAATATATTTAATATTTCAAAAATTTTACATAACTAAGTAGAATATTATTATTCCATTTATTTGCATATTTCAATGATTTAAAATATTATAAACTGACTGTAGGAGTATACAACGAAAGGTGTAGGCAGAGTGTCAAGGGCATGCAAAGTTAAGTACATAGATAGTAACTAGTCACGCGCCACAAAACGCTACGTAACAATTAAATGAGTGAATGTAGTAATAAAGAATTTTTGTCATTTGTCTAGGGCGGCGGTGGTCTGAGCGGTGTGGGGGGTGCGGGAGGCAGTATGCGTGCGGGAGCGGGGCAGGGCCCGGGAGCGACGGAGTCGTGCGTGGAAGTGGGCGGCGCGGCGCTGGAGGACGGTGCCAGCGGGCTGCAGGTCCGCCGCGGCAGCGAGCCTTCACTGCACCAGGACACCATGCCGCCGCAGAGGCAGGTCAGCATCACAACATATTGAACTCTTATCGGACAGTGGTCAATGTATCCGCAAACGGTTGTTGGGACCAACGCTTTATGTGTTTATCTAGTGGATTTAAATAATTTTCCAACAACAAAATATAATGTAGCGCTTTTTATTTAGTACCTACCTAAAATTTTTGTTGGTGGTATAAGTCGTGAATACTTGAAGTTCTAGTAATTAATCTAGTGAATTTGTGTCTACGGTTCATATGAACGCACCTATGTTTTTTATTCACTTATCCAAGCTAGCCTCGTGGGAGCGCAGTCAGGTTCATTGCACAGTCCGACACAGCTATCAGTTGACTTTCCATTTAACGCGGCGATAACTTATCTAGGTAAACCAGTTATTTTTCAGCCCCAACCCACTGTCAATATAAGAGATATGACAGAATTAGAACCGGTCTTTGAAGTTGTAATACCTAAAGGTATCAGAGTTAATAATGTGAGTTACAAAAACGTATGTTTTGAATGACATTAATCTTACTAATAAATGGGAACGTTGTATGGATGTTGAGGGTATGTTGCTACCCAACTTCAAATTGGCTAATTGAGTCTGGATGACATTTGGAACAGATATAGGTTACATTCTGGAATAGCGTATAGGTTACTAGCTCAGTTTTAGAAATACATGCGGAAAAAGTCGCGGGAGTTAGTTATACATAAAAATATCTGAATATGTATGTGCAGGTGTGCGAGCAGACGAAGCGATGGTCTGCAGCGGTAGTGTGTCGGGAGGAGACGCGCGCGCCGCCGCCCGACGCGGAACGCGCGCCGCACGGCCAGCACTTCCAGCGGCATTCCAACAGACTGTCCATGCAATTCTCTGGACCTGGGTAAATTATTTTTAAAACTTCTGTCGTTCAAACCACTGTTAAACTGTTTACATGTGCAACTAAGCATAATTTAGCAATAGTACACGAGAACATTTTATATTTAACCGCACTTACACGATCTATTGGTTCAATTTTGTGATAGTCACAACAACTTTAACAAATATTTCACTGTTCATTAGGCGCTTAAGGGTCTTCGCTGTACAGACTAAATAATATGAAAACGGTAAAAAATTTCAGGAGCGGAGTTTGGTTAGACGCGGCGGAGCGAGTACAAATCTACGGCAGCAAGAGTTTGCCCCGAGACGCCCGCAGAGAGCCGCTGGGACAGGACACATCCGTTGACACGCAGAGTCAAAACCACAGGTAGCACAAAAACGTCAGCACGTTTAACCTCTTACTATTTTTAAATTCTAGCAAATGTCTCTAAAATTTATTATATTATGTTTTAGAGTGGAAGACATGTTGCGATGGGTTTCGGGCGTTAACAATGTTTCCAGCGAGCCTCACGGACAAGAACGTCAATTAGATCTACTTCCTGAAAGTAAGTACCGGAAGCTTTCGTCAAAAATACGTGAGTCTACATCTTAAGCATATTTTTTAAAAATTATATTTTCCATTTATAATTCCAGTGGGTATCAGCGAGCGCGCGGTGTCGGGCCTGGAGATGCCGGTGACCCCCAGCGGCAGGGGGTCAGGTGGTGGGGGAGCAGGGGGTGCTGGGGGCGCGGCGCAGACGGTCCACGTGACGCTGGTGAAGGGCGAGAAAGGCCTGGGCTTCACCATCACGACGCGCGACAACCCAACCGGCGGACACTGCCCCATATACATTAAGAATATACTGCCTAAGGTATGATTTGCGAATTTGATTTGTGTGTTAAAACGACGAAAAATCAAGAAACAAATCTATCATATTAATATTTTCAAATTTCATCAGAATCCGTTTCACCTTTGTGGAGATACCTCGTTACAAACATTCATCCAAGCATTGAAGTGAATGCAATGAAAGGCCCAGATGAAAGAACGTATCCTGTATTGTTGTTCTGATTGTTGTTGCAGGGCGCGGCGGTGACGGACGGGCGGCTGCGCGCGGGCGACAAGCTGGTGACGGTGAACGGCGTGTCGGTGTCGGGGCTGACGCAGCAGCAGGTGGTGGCGCTGCTGCGCAACACGCCCCCGGACTCGCAGGTCGACATCGTCATAGAGCGCACCCCCGCCAGGACACAGGTCTATAGCTTCCCTTGTTCCGCTTATATACACACAAATTGTCTTTGAAATGATGCCCATGATCTTGGAGTTTTCCAATAGTTCTGAGGATATTCAGTAAAATAGAAGTTAGAATGGCAAAACCAAATCTATAATTTTATATTTTAATTTTTAATACTTGCTACACAAAAACTTTGCCAAAATAAACATTTTTTAGGCTATTAAAGGTTTTTTTTAATTTCCAGAGAGTGGAACCCCAGCAGAGTCCGAATAAATATGTAGAAAAGGCAATAGGAACGACTAACATAACTACGATGCCAGTAGAGGCGACTCCGGCGGAGAATGGCCGAGTGTCCACCATGGTCCACGCCATCAATCACAACCACAACCACGCCCCCAACGGCTCTGCCAGGGGACGGATACAGAAGAGTTCCTCTAAAGATGATCTGTTAAATAAGGACCAGGCGTTAGACTCGCATGTACAAGATGCTTTAAATTCCTCCACAACTTCGGTGAGTTTGTTAATTTCATATAGCTTATTTAAATAAAATGGATAATTCATAATTAATTATATTTTAATTATATGTTAATATTTTAGATACCTGGACTTCGAAACCGACTAATCTTACGATTAGATGTCCCGGTCCACGACTCAGAGAAGGCTGGACTTGGGATCAGCGTAAAGGGGAAGGTGACGGTGGGACCGGACCCTCAAGACTTAGGCATCTTCATTAAGTCCGTACTTCACGGCGGCGCCGCATCCAGAGATGGAAGGTGACAGAACATAACCCACATAAGAAATAACTTTTGCTTTAATTCGATAATGAATAATGATACATGTACGATGTTTGTAATTAGTATTTCAATGTGTATCGTGTTGTGTGTCAGACTGCACACGAACGACCAGCTGGTGAGCGTGAACGGCGTGTCACTGGTGGGTCAGAGCAACGCGCAGGCTATGGACACGCTGCGACGTGCGCTGCTGCACGCCCGCCCGCACGTGCGCGGCAGCATCTCACTCGCAGTCGCCAGGCGCACCGGTACGTACCACATGCGCATGCGCATGCGCATCTCACGAGCACGTGCCACACATTGACATGTTCTAACAACAAATACATCGCGTTACAGACAGCATGGACAGCCTCGCTAGATGGAAAGACGACACGCCGCCCAACGGCAACGACACCACCAACTCAAACGACCACAGCAACTCGCAGAACTTCAATACCATCATATACAACGCCGCGGACGGGGACAACAAGAACCTCGACTTCACGCACAAGTTCCAGCTCAACCAGAACGAAGTCGGCACCGATAACCACGATGGAAGGACCAAGAAGCACGCCTCCATCGTCACCATCAACAACAACAACAGCTGGGTCTCCAATCAGTCGGACGATAGCAAAGGGTATTTGGAGAGGGACAAAGATAGCGTTCCTCATGACACGAAGAGAGACAGCTTCGAGTGGAGCCGGCTGGACGGCTGGAACCCGGTGATAGACAGGCTGACGGGGCTGCGCAACGAGAGCTACTACATGGCCACGCAGACTGACGCCACCCTCGCCAACGGACACCACTACCGTCAGACTCCCGGACACGTGCACATGGCGCGCTCTCCGCCGCCACACCACAACGTTATTATTGAGGAGGACTACGGCACCACCAGGTACCATCAAATTTACTATTCAAGTTGTACGAAAACCCATTAAATTGGCAGTAATAGTATTATGTAGCCGAAGATCCAATTCTGTATAAAATGATTTAGAAATGAAATATTCGTTTACGTGTCAGGGGCGGCGAGTCGGGCAGCGAGTGTGGCGGTGGTGGGGGCGCAGGCGAGGGCTTCAGCCGGGACGCGGTGGGGCGCCGCTCCATGTCGGAGAAGCGCCACGCCGCACTCGACGCCAAGCAGACCGGCACCTACAAGAAGATCAAGGAAATCAAAGCCGTCAACTGTGAGTCAACATTTATTTTTACTTAATATACTAGTATTAAAGCTTGCATACATTCTGGCGACTAACAACAGCTACAGTAGCAACACGGTCTGTTCATTTCAAATGACACTTAACTCGGACAGAGAGTTTTCATGATTAATTTATTCCAGCAATGCAAGTCGGCCCTTCTCTCGGGATGCGAAAGTCTTCCAGTTTGGAGTCCTTACAAACAGCCATACAAGAGACTCAGAAAAACCCACGAAACGAACCCTTATATGCTCGAGCACATCCACGTAAGTTGTGTCTTTGAAAACCCGAACGATCGAATTCCTGGTACCTTTTTTTTGTAAAATAAAATCTTAAATTTATACTTTTGTTGCAGCTCTCAAACATTGGTTAACAGACGACAACAACGCGCCAGAACATATCATAAGAGGATCGCCGCAACAGTCGTCCTTGTCCCACAAAAAACCGTCGTTACTCAAATCTTTGTCTACGATGTTTAGGTAATTCTTTACTTAATACTTCTTACATATATTTCGTTCTTTTAATTTGAATTGTGCAACAGCAGAGTTAATTTTTTATTTTTTCTTAGAATCGGTAAACCTAATAAGAAAAGCGAAAACGAGACTTACGGCAGATCGCAGCCGGGACGGTCTTCGGAGAAGTCTTTGTCGCGGGAGGCGCTGGAGAGGCACAACAGGATAGACGAGCGGCTGGAGGACTCCAACCCGCCGCCACCACCGCACAGGTATTGAGTTAAATGTTTTTAGTGGCCCCTGTTACTTTTTATAGTATACTTGTATAGTTTTTTTTCAAATATCTTGGCGCTCCAAAGTAATCGACACGGTGCAGTGTCCTCCGCCGCATCCCTATACGCTACAACACACTTGAAATTGTGTTCAGCGCGAAGTTAAAAGCCGCAAAGATATCTAAAAACTACTATACATTTGTAACAATACTAGATTTTGCCCGCAACTTCGTCATAAGTAAAAAATATACTTTACAATTTTAGTATAGATTTTTTCATTATTTTTAAAACTGACTAATTTAGACATTATTAGTTAGGATCCTTTGGCGCGAATGACGTGGTTTCTTTAGAAAGTCCAGAATGAATAGTGAGGGGACATTAACGTCGACATTTTAGTAAGACTACAGTCGGATCAATACACTGCCATATTATCGGATTTTCTGCTTAAAAATTCTGATAAAATGGCGAGTAACATCCTAAGTTTAGGTATATCAAAGTCCGTCGCTGTGACGTGATTGCATTCAGTATATGTAAGGAGTGTGTGTCGCACAGAGAGGAGTCAAGTAGGTCGCGACAGAGCAGCAGCGAGCGCGGCTCCAGGTCGGAGAAGCGAGCGCACGCGCACGCGCACGCGCCGCCCTACCGCGCCCCGCCCCCTCGCACCGCGCCCGCACGCACCGCGCCCGCACACAGTCATGTAAGTTCATTCTATACTACGTTGTGCTAACTTAGCACAATTCATATTTGTACTAATTCACACTCAAAAAGGTTTTATGACAACTTCGTATCATTAATTCTTCGTCTTACTAATATTATAAATGCGAATGTTTAGATGAATGGATGGATGTTAGGAGGTATCTCCGGCACGGCTCAACGGATCTTAGTGTAACTTGGCATAAATGTAAATAAAAGTCTGGAAGAACATATAGACTACTAATTAAGTTTTCTTTTAAACCCGCGCGCACTGTGTCGTGCACGTAAAAACCATTTCAATGACAAAATAAACATTACTTATACGATCTTAAAATTTCGTATTCATTCTTACGATACAAGGCTTTAAAAAATGTTAAAAACATTGTTCGATTCATTTGGCATTTATAACCTTGATTCATTGATATAAGGAAAGTCGTGGCGTTTAATATCTATATGTTAAAAGTATTTAAGTGAACAATAGTTAATTTACATAGCAATATATTGAATTATTTAATATTGTTTATTGCAGTTTTATTATCAGTAATTGCGTGCAATTGTTGTTCTTGTGAATTCAATAAAACGGAATGTATTAGCAACCTACAACTTTTTCATTACAGTAGTAATATATAATTATTTAATAACGATAATAAAAATCAGTGAACACGTTAATAAACGAGGTATAGTTAAGTAATACGGCACAAGAATTAGAAGTACAGTCGAACCTGGATAAACGAGAACTATATGACCACTTTTATAAGCCAGAGTTATTGTTAGATTCCGACGGACGACCTCCATAAGCGAGAAAGGGTAAAAGGAACTTATCATTATCCACCTGCTCTTATTCCTATTGAGGGTCGGCACAGTATGTACTACTCCATACATCTCTATTAGCCGTCATATCCGAATCTACCCCTTCCTACGCATATCCTCTAAAAGAGAGGAACTTCTATAAGGAAATATCGCAGTCCCTTGGACTCTCACTTATCCAGGTTCGATTGCGTATAACTTTAAAACTGGAAGACGCAAAAGAGAATTCCAGAAACATATTTAACTGACTTAAGTAACGCTAGAGTCACAAATGAAATCAATGTACTATTTAATTTAAAAAAAAAAAACATTTTATTTTAATAATTATTTATCAAAAAAAATGTTTTTTTTTTATAAAAAGAAAAACAAGGAAGCAAAATGACAAGTTTAACCTATATATATTGTTACAGGCGATGGATTCAGCGTGGGGTCCAACAGGCCATTACGTTAATTATGAAGAAATTCAAAACTTTAAGTAAGTTTTTGATATAATCTATTTTATCAGAAAAAAATAAATCCTATCTTACTATTAAAGCATTTTGAATCTTATAACATTGCTATTAAAGTGTATTTTTCCGTTCAGCGCGCGTCGTGAGAAACTAAGCGAGGTGCAAATCGGTCAGATGAGGCTACAGATGAACGAGAGGCAGCAGAGAGCAAAGGCTGAAGAAGAAAGGTAAATATTTACTTATTTTACCTTTAACGTGTTTTTTTTAAAACTTAAACGGGCAAAAAGCAGAAGAAAAAATCAATGTGTGGAACTAAAACATTCATCAGACGAAACAAAAAATAATAATACAGCACTTAAGCAAATAATTAAATCAAGTAAAGGAAAATTATAAAAACACTAATTAATACGAAGCTATTGAGTTAAAAATATGATAAACAAGTTGAAGTATTGTTATTAGACTAAAAACTACCATTTCTTATGACTTAATTAACATATAAGTGCTATTTATACGAACCGTAATAAAGTCATAAAATGATTCAACATAACATAAAGATAAAGTATAGGCGAGGTATGACGTCATAATATTGATGCATCTTATTAGAGCGTCGGTGGCTCAGGGGTCAAGCACTCGACTTGCAATCTGCGGGTCCTAGGTTCGAATCCCGCCATGTACCAATGTGTTTTTCGATTTCCGATTTTTATATGTATATTTATCCGACGTTCTTACGGGGAAGGAAAACATCGTGATGCAACCTGCACATATCTGAGAAGAAATTCAAAGATATGTGTGAAGTCAATCCAACCCGCACTTGGCTAGCGTGGTTGACTATGACCTTATCACCCTTAACTTAGGGTAGGCTCCGAGCCCCTCGGTGGGGACGTATTGTGAGCTGATGATGATGATTTGACAAAGATTGTAGTCCTTTTCCATACTTACGATGTTTCGTACGTATCCATCGTTTTATTGAGACATCGTTACGTTAATATATCTCATACGATTGCTTCCCTTTTTCGTCTATAAAATAAAATAATAAAATACGTAGTCTATTAAATTTATAAGTAGGCGTATCGAGTACGCGTCGTTTCGAGCTTCAATAAAATTGTTTTGATTACGGCGAAACGAGCTCGATGATCTGCTCTATAAATAGATCCTGCTTTATTATACACTTCATAAATCCTCCTGAACTGACGAGCGGTTTAATATTTTATTAATATAATCTATTTTATTACGTATTCAATCTAGTTAATTGTTTTATCTATATATATCTTATAAGGCCTTACTGTACACTAGGCAAAGTATTCAAAAAGCGATTTTAGTCGCTAAGACTTACGCAATTTAATCATAAAGGTTCATAAACAGCGCGAATCGCCGATATTTTCATCTATCTTCGTCAAAAATCGTTCGCAATCTGTTAGTCAAAATTATAATAAGAAAAGTAGCTGATATTTTCAAGATGGCGGAGCAAAACTATACAGTAGACATGTAGTCGAGCCTGTACTGATTGATTAGACGACTCAATATGTGAAGCGAGCGCCCGCGACGCGATTAGTTTTGACGGTTTACGTTGTCCTATGTACGAAGGGGCTTATAAACATTAGTTTTAATTTTAACTAAGAGAAATAATGAGGTAATTTAAATCATTACTATGATATACGCTTTTTTTTACATAAGATACGAATATTAAGAGTTAAGTTAAACATTTCAATGGCAGTCGCAAGCTGTGAATAATATTTTATAAACTTTAGTTAGTTTTCTTTTGTTTTTGTAGCTCTTTTGTTCATTTGGCGTAACCTTGTCTTTAATAGTCTTAGTAGCGGTCTTGGTATAAAAACTAAAAGTAATCAGTTTATACTATGTTTTTTGCGATACACTTTGGCAGGATCGTACAAAAAGATGAAACGTGACCTCCGTTTGATCCTCTTGGTCACGACCGAATGTACTTTTATTTATTTTCCAATGAAGTATAAATAACCTCACTCGACCGACAATCAAAGAAGTTTTTTTTTTATACAATAAATCACCGAGACAGGACATTCACCTAAAGGTACCCAATGGACACTATCAACCATGTTGTGATATTAAACATATTGAATTCATTACTGTTAAAGAAACCATTATAATATTCACTGTGTTACCTTAAAATTGAAACGAACGTAACGTAACAACGAACGTTTATTTAATGATGAAGATCCGATGGATTTATTATGAATATGTCTGATATTTTGTTTTTACCCCGTCAATCCTTAGTTCAAAATAAACTTGAATAACATATACTTGTTAGGATGGATATCTAGTATGTATTTCTTTCTGTGGCTAGTACACAATCTGACGTCATAATATTGATGCACGTTCATATCTGTATCCATGTACCGCGACCCTTATTGTTTCAGTTATAATTAACTTGTAATTTTGGTACACCAGTCGTCGAGGAGTTCCCGCGGGCTACCAGTCGCAGCGGTCGTGTCGGGAGGGTGGTGGTGGTGGGGGCGGGGGCGGGGGCGGGCGGCCGCAGTCCAACTACTACGAGTACGAGAGCGCGCCACCACGCAGACCCGGCAAACTCTCGCACTACCACTGACACGCGGCTCACTTTACACTGGACATCAACCTTCCAAAGTATTTATACGTTTAGTTATACATTACTGCAGTGTACTCACCTAGCCGTGTACTATGTATCACGTTCTCACTTTATGTATCTTGAGCACTAACTACCTCGTAGCTAAGTACCAGATACGCGGTGAAAACCCTGCTTAATACGGCTAATACGCATAAGATCCTAACTCGTAGCATTATTTTTTGTCTATCAACAGTTGTTTAAGTCATGACATTTTTATTGAAACATTGTTATTACTATTAGTTAGAGTTGAAAATTACAAAACTCGCTGTTTTTGTGTTACGTCTATATGCGTACAAGTCCAAATATTCGATTAAGTAGTTACGTAGTGTTGGTTTTGATGCGCAGTTTAAAACTACATACAAACTGGAATTGTAACTCTTTGTTTCCTAGTTCACGATAGTGCGTTGTAAGTGTACAAACGAGATAATGTACTGCAAAAGTTGTTATAAAATAATTGTAGGTCTGTTTGTAGACGTCCGTCCCGCCGGTGCTGGATCAACCGTAAACTTTATCATTGATTTATCAGTAACCTTGTAGCTATTGTAATAAGGTTTATTTTGAATTATCATTTGATCTAATATCTACTTAATTTCCCAGTTATAAAGACAAACATGTAATGATATTTTTTTAATTTACTTTTACAAATTAGGTTTGATATTTGAAGAATGATATAGCAAATTTTAACCTTAATTATGAACTGATAAAAAATAGTAGTTAACCTATGTATTTATTTTATGTAACAAAGTAAATGTGAAAAACATTTTCGAAAAGTTAAGGCTTTTTTATTTTTGGAAACGAGATTTTTTGACACGTCATTGTTAGCAATCCGCCTCGTACTTTCTTTTAATATATTTTATAGAATTAAAATACAAAATCTCTTTAATAAAATCTTTTTAGTTTGTATGTTTTTTTTCTCGAAATGTATTTATATATACTTTTATCTCTATTTAATACATACTATGTACTTCAATCCGAAGTTTTTACGGTGAAGGAAAACATCGTGATGTCTGCACATATCTGAGAAGAAATTCAAAGATATTTGTGAAGTTAACCCGCAGTAAGCCAGCATGGTTGACTATGACCTAGTCACCTCTTACTTAAGGTAGGCTTCGACCTCCTGGGTGGGGACGTATAGTGAGCTGGTGATGTAAGTGAAAGATTCAGTTTTGTTGGTCGAAGTATTGCTATTTTATCCAATAAATTTAAAAAATGACATTACTGTATCCAAAAAAATGAGTACAAGGTTATTGAATTATGGTTACGATAATTTGCACAATCATTAAATTCGCAAGCAATTGATAGAAAAAACTTAGCAGCCTCGCCCTATGACGGGTTTAAATAATATTTTAAAGCCTTCACACTTATTATATACTGAGCGATGTTCTGCAAAAAAAAACATGTTTTAATGACGCGGGTAAAAATTAAATTGATCGTTAAACAATACTACAATACCAGCATTTTTGTTACTGCACCTTTTGACATTTGAACCGAACCTTGTTTCGTTTTTTATAGGACTTAATGGAATATTACCTTGCCAATATTCTATTGTTCTATGCCGCTGTTAAGTTCAATTAATAAAAATCATGGTTACCTGCTTCCTCGTACCTTGCAGTTAAATAAAAAAAACATTGTAGAGTTTAATCAGAAAAAAATCAGTCTTTCTCGACATTTTAAGAGTATTAATTTAAAAAAATCCAGTGAAATAAGACAATTTGAAACATATTTTTAATTTAAATTTAAATTATAAGTATTTATTATAAAATTTAACTTTTACGTGATTAGTTTAAATTTATCATAACAACATCAACAGTTGGAATATTGGAGTTTCTATACTCCTCATATTAAAAAAAACCCACTTTTTTATCATTTTAATAAAAACAATAAATGGCAATGACACAAAATGTAATATATCGAATTTCGTTTCGTTGGTTTCTAAGACCAAAATCTCTGTATAAAAGATATCGTCATCCCTGTCATTATCTTTGACAAAACAGAGATAACAATATATTTTGAACGGAGATTTTGGTCTCGGAAATCTACTGTTATACCACGAGGCGGATTGCATATGCTACATTCAATCTTTAGCTATATTTTTATCTAACTCTGAGTTCTGTTAAGTGGATACTAAAGCTTATAGTGCCATTAAGATTCTCTATAGTATTTAACTGGCCTCGAGTAAATTACTAATAGAGTAGTTTGCTTGTTAGGTAAATGTAAATACATCTCACGCTATGTACTAGTTATTATTTTATTACATTCCTAAGCTACTAAGTTTAAGTTCTTAAATCAAAGAAGCTTTAATGTTTACTTAATACATAATTAAGACATTTCAAACTATTCTTTCGACTGAATGTCGCTTATTTTACTTATACTTTTATTGTGTCGACTTTTATATTTACAAATTTTTTTTTGTATAATTTTATTAAAAGTGATCAAATTGTTTTGTCTCTTATTTTTAATTCGTCTTTTCTTATTTCTGTTTTTATATACATTATACGTTATGTATATTTATATTAAATACAAAAATAGATAAATAAGCATTGTATTGTAAATATGTCGTCAAATTGATGAATTATTGTATATTAATGGAATTGTTTAAATTGAATGCGATTGAAGTATATTTTGGTACTATTAAATATTACTTATCGCTAGTTAAGTCGTATAACTTGTATATATAATACATACGACATATAAGATCGTAAGTGATACTGTCACGAACATTGGCCATCGGTACCTAAATAAAATACGATTTTGTCATTGTAAATTTTTATTTCTTTCCCTATTCTTAACTAGCTGGCACACGCGACTCCGTTCGCGAGAAATTAAAAAAAAAACTTAATAGCCTATGTGTGTTTCCAGGTTTTGTACTACGTCTATACTCCAGGCGTCTATGAATTTCATCGAGATCCAAGCTATGAAGACGCCTTCAAACATTCATTCATCCAACATTCTCATTTATAATATTATTTAGATAAATATATTCCGTAAAAAATTACTCATACAAAATTGTACATGCAGATAAAAATCCCTCATTAGTCTCTGGAAACATCGGTATAAGATAAGAGACATTTATTTCCGAAGATAACAAAGCATCCGGATCAACACGAGGACAAGGATACGGGATCCTGATGTATAACGAACATAAAATATCTATCGATTTGGTGGAATGATTCCTATTGTCTATTTCCAATTATAGGTACTCTAAACCATGCCTACTTTGAGCCCTCAATATGGTTAAAATGGCCAGAATTAATATTATCATAAACTAGCAATCGCCTGCAACTCTATCGGCGAAATGAAAAAAAAATAATTATTAAGTAACCTATGTGTTCTTCCAGACTATGTTCTACATCTGTGTCAAATTTCATCAAGATCCGTGGAACATTTACGGAGTTACTTTCTAACAAACATCCATCCATCTAAACATTCGCATTTATAATATTAGTAAGAAGTAAGATAGTAAGATTTAATCGAATAGTCTAATAAACAAGTCTTATTATTCATTAAGTAATTTTATTTATCAAAGTAATTTTCTTGAGTCTTTTCTGTAAAGCTGAAAATGTTTTACCACACCTGTTTGCTATAGATACAGAAATTTTATTAGTGTAGTGTTAGCTATATAACATTAAGTCAACCAGTTTTATAAATTAAGTCAGAACTAGTTTTTTTTTTAATAATAGTTTTTAGTGTTCCTCGAAAACTCTATCCTTTTGTAATTAGAAGTTACTAATAAAAGAAATAAAAAAAGTTACGTGTATTTTGTTCAATTTATGAGATTTAGAACGAAATACAGACTTAAAACAGCATTTCTAACGACCATATCGCGTTTGGTAGCATTTAAAATGTGTCTCCTAAAACATCACATTTGACTTACGACCATTTAAGTAAGAGCCATCGGAATACATTTTTCAGCCATAAAAATTTTATTAATATGTTTTGTCATATTCTCACAGAAAACCTAATCTTACTAATATTATAAATGCGAATGAATGGATTGATGTTTGTTAAAAATCAGATCTTGATAATATTTGGTATACGCATAGAACACAGTCTGGAAGAACACGTAGGCCTATGATCCCGAAAATGTGAACGGTTTCCGTAGGATGTGTTTGATTAACATTTACTTGCTAATTCTGCAACGGTCCAAAACATCTTATTGTTATTTAGCAAAGATATAGAACATAGTCTCGAGTAGCACATGGAATACTTTTCACCCTTTATCTTAAATTGTTAGCAGACGAAGTTGCGGACAACAGCTAGTAATAAAATAAATCTATGGATGACTTAAAATAAAATACATATTTAGTTGCAAAAAGAATAATTCACAATATAAATAGATAAATATTATTAAAGATTTTAGGTATTTAATATTAGTTGCATTTAATTTCTTTTGAAATGTCATATGTATTTATTACATAAAAACGAAAAAGTACTATTGAATAGAATTATTATTTATTCCTAGATACTAATAGCTTTAAATGCGTCATTGTGTTTTATTTATTTGAATTTTGTTTGTATTATTTTCTTACTAATAATTTTAATGGAAAAGTTTGGATGTTTGTTACAGAGTTCTCCTAAACGGCTGAATTGGTCTCGCTGAAATTTGGCATAGATTTAGAACATAGTCTGGTAGTGTCATAGGCTAAGAATTAAGTTTTTTCTTTAATTCTGCGCGGAGTTATATTTGATATTAACACAAGTGGTACGGCAATAGGTTGTGCAGCTTTTATAAGGCAGTACATTATATGACGGGTCGCGGGTCGCGGGTTGCTGATCGCCAGCCTGTTTGCACGACCGCCGCACTCTTTGACGTCATTGGGTTTTACAGACTGGCTGTTTATACCGAAAGGTAGTCTAACAAATGAGATTACTTTGAATAGTGGAAAAGTTTGTGTTTGTGCATTTTGTGGTAACAACATTAATATTCAGATTTTTGTATTTAGATAAAATCTAATAACAAATTGATTCCTAACTCTAGACGTGCTTAAATTAATAAATTATTATTAATTATCAAAGAAAAATTTACGTATTTTTTAAAGAGTAGTACAGTGGAAATTCACGTTAAGCCTGTTTACTCTTTCCAAAACAATGGCGTAGTTTTCGCGCGCCATATGCTCAAGTAGTTGTCGAAGTAAAAGCCGAGGGAAGGCCACGAAAAGGGGCAATTTGCAATAAACAGCTGACATGCGAGGTATGGCCTTGTCCTTCTAACGATCGTATTGTTAAGATAAATGCCACCCTGCACGCCAAACCTCCGTAATAAGGTCGGATTAGGTGAACCAAGGAACAAGGGAGTTCGCCTAAGTCTTTTTGGTAACGATAAACGGAATATTGTCAAGATTTTAGGAAAAGCGACATTTTCCTAAAATCTTGACACACATAAGAATGTTTTAGTTTTTAAACCAAACATTCTCTTGGAAAATTTACTTTTGTGTTCCTCATTTTATTAATAATAGAATGATTTACATAATTGTATAAAATTATTTTATTATTACTAGCTACAAGAAAAAATATATTCACACGACCTTGTCAATAATAAAGTTAATAATTTAAGTTAAAATATCATTTGGAAAATAAAAAAAAATCTATTGAATACCTAATTTTATTATCTTCATATAAATGCGAATGTGTAGATGGATGGATAGATGGATGTTTGTTACAAAGTATCTTCAGAATGGCTCCATGGATCCCGTTGAAATTTGGCATAGATGTAGAACATGTGTAAAAGAACACATAGGCTTCAATTTTTTTTTAATTCGCGGACACGGCTAGTGTTAACACAATTCACAATATTTTAACATAGCAGAACGTTCTTCGCTGAAATCTAAAAATTAATTTAATTTTTGTATTAAACATGATAAAGACGATAAATTTATTTCTTAAGAGTGGATAATCACTCGCCGTCAAACTGCGATACTGCAGGTTGTGAATCATGAGCATTGCATAAATATTAAAGGACAAAAGTGTGATTCATAGCAGATACCTTATTGGATCCTGAACAAAAGATCATTATTTATTTATAAATACGCCGGCTTTATTTGCATAATTGAAGAAAAAATCAATGCATTCCTGCCAAGCCCAGTTATCGAAAAAAAAAAGTGGAAGCGAAGAAAATGTTTTGTGAGAAGTTTATGCATTACGACTTTTTTAATCACATTTCAGAGTTTAAATAACTAGCTTTGTGGTTGAGGGCGCTTATGTCTCATAAGTCTGTGCTTGTAAGACTTCTACGAATCATCTAAGTCGTTTTACAAGAAGAGCTTGTATCTTTGTAGGGTCAAGGCGTACAGGTACAATTATTTATTGTTATTACTTCTTATTAATGTCGCAAAGTCAAGTGTATTTCAAAATTTACATGTAGTATAAGCAGGGCCTGGAGTAATAACGAAATAGAAA